TTATAACATCATTCAGAACAAGAGCCAGGGAGGGTGTATAGCAGATATGTTATAACATCATTCAGAATAAGAGCCAGGGAGGGTTTATAACAGAAATGTTATAACATCATTCAGAACAATAGCCAGGAGGGTGTATAACAGATATGGTATAACATCATTCAGAACAAGAGCCAGGGAGAGTGTATAACATATGTTATAACATGTTATGAGGTCATTCAGAACAATAGCCAGAGAGGGCCTACAGCAGATATGTTATATAGGTCAGTTAGAACAATAACGGAGGGTGTATAGCAGATATGTTATAAAGGTCGTTCAGAAGAATAGCCAGGAGGGTGTATAACAGAAATGTTATAACATCATTCAGAACAAGAGCCAGGGAGGGTTATAGCATATATGTTATAACATCATTCAGAACAAGAGCCAGGGAGGGTGTATAACATATGTTATAACATCATTCAGAACAAGAGCCAGGGAGGGTGTATAGCAGATATGTTATAACATCATTCAGAACAATAGCCAGGAGGGTGTATAACAGATATGTTATAAAGGTTGTTCAGAACAATAGCCAGGGAGGGTGTATAACAGATATGTTATAAAGGTTGTTCAGAACAATAGCCAGGGAGGGTGTATAACATATATGTTATAAAGGTTGTTCAGAACAATAGCCAGGGAGGGTGTATAACAGATCTGTTATAAAGGTCGTTCAGAAGAATAGCCAGGAGGGTGTATAGCAGATATGTTATAAAGGTTGTTCAGAACAATAGCCAGGAGGGGTGTTTAAATGATCTATTATAAAGGTTGTTCAGAACAATAGCCAAGGAGGGTGTATAACAGATATGTTATAAAGGTCATTCAGAACAATAGCCAGGGAGGGTGTATAACAGATATGTTATAATATCATTCAGAACAATAGCCAGGAGGGGTGTATAACAGATCTGTTATAAAGGTTGTTCAGAACAATAGCCAGGGAGGGTGTATAACAGATATGTTATAAAGGTCATTCAGAACAATAGCCAGGGAGGGTGTATAACAGATATGTTATAACATCATTCAGAACCATAGCCAGGATGGGTGTATAACAGATCTGTTATAAAGGTTGTTCAGAACAATAGCCAGGGAGGGTGTATAACACTAACAGATCTGTTATAAAGGTTGTTCAGAACAATAGCCAGGAGGGGTGTATAAATGATCTGTTATAAAGGTTGTTCAGAACAATAGCCAGGGAGGGTGTATAACAGATATGTTATAAAGGTCATTCAGAACAATAGCCAGGGAGGGTGTATAACAGATATGTTATAATATCATTCAGAACCATAGCCAGGAGGGGTGTATAACAGATCTGTTATAAAAGTTTGTTCAGAACAATAGCCAGGGAGGGTGTATAACACTAACAGATCTGTTATAAAGGTTGTTCAGAACAATAACCAGGGAGGGTGTATAACATATATGTTATAAAGGTTGTTCAGAACAATAACCAGGGAGGGTGTATAACATATATGTTATAAAGGTCATTCAGAACAATAGCCAGGGAGGGTGTATAACAGATCTGTTATAAAGGTCGTTCAGAAGAATAGCCAGGAGGGTTGTTATAGCACATGAGAGACAGCGGGAGTGATCTATACATCAAAGTTGAGATAGCTTGACTAACAAATGAAAATGAGAACATTGCATATTATAGATTTATTGAGTCTTAGACCAAGCGATAACATTGTCCAACAATCAATGTTTACCCAAAGCTACATAACAGCAAACCACCTCTTTTCATAATACAAGCTTCAAGGCGGTGAGGCCTACCTGTATGAAGAAAGTGAAAAAGTAGTGTGACTCTAACTATTTTACACCACCATGATATCCGTGTGCCTTCCGCATCGAAGCAATGTCCCATCCCTGCTTTCATATTAGATATATATATATATATTAAGGCTGTAACGATTCACTCGCATATTCGGTGAATCGAACCGTAGCCCTTCATGAATTCAATTCGTTATTCGTGGTCATAAGAACCGAATATTCATGAATATTTACAATTTTTATAAAGGAGTGTGTTTTACTTGAACCATATGTCCTTTTTCAAAACGAGATATGCAAGAATGCAATATGTTCTATGCTTGTAGTAGCCCAAGTCATGTTAGTTTGCCAAGGCTGCACATGTTACTGTCAACTATAACTATTACATACAAAATTTGAGTGTCATGAGATGACTGGTTATTGCTGAGACAAATTAACACAGTCAACATTGGCATTCAATACTGTGCATCAATCATTTAACTACAATATTGTATTCATGAATAATTATTCGTATTCGTTACCTAATATTCATGATACGTATCACATTCGCAACATAGTGTATTCGTTACAGCCCTAATATATATATATATATGGTTTTAGATTCTTTAAGCGGCTTGAGGTCCACACTCTTAACCAGAAGTGAAACATTAATATGTTTCAGGTTACACATTTAATCGTGGAAAGCCTGTTCTCTCTGCAATGACCGTTGCTGTCCATGCTGCTTTATAGTATAAATCAGGATTTAGTCTTTCTTGATTGCGAATTTGCAGTTTCAACAGCTGGCATGTATTCTATCTGCTATTTTCTCTGGTCATCCTTTACTAACATTACACGTGGAGTTGTCTCCCTTTAATCAAATCAGAATAAGATCCACTCACAACTTTGATATGTCAATTGTTGATAGCCTAAACAGTATGAGTTTGTTTTTTTTTTCAATTTCGGGTGCATCTATTAAGAGTAATAGCAGAAGAGGGTGCATATCGAGTATATTTTTTATCATTTTTATCATTTAGAATAATAGAGGGTAAACGTGTATTGAATATTAAATAGAAGGAAAGTCCTGGGAGGGATACATCAGATATGTCACAGACTGCACAACATGACAATAATAAACTGTCATCTCCAAACCCTTCAGCCTTGCTTAGCGATGTTAGCAGAAAAGAAACACCTAGGACTGACATCATGCAATTAAAATTAAAGGAAATTTTATATCCTTTTGCTCTTCATCTAAATGTGAGCAGGATCTAAATTCATTGGGTCAGTAGTGACAAATGTTTAACACTATCATCACACATTCATAGCTGACTGCAAATGGGAAATGATAATAAAATCTACAATTATAGAATCTTCAGAAGTCATTTGGTTCTTGGGGTTGCTGATAGTAAATCACTTTTCAATTTTTTCAAGTAGAATCTAGTAGAATTCAAGGGGTCAAAGACTCTATAGTAATAAGCTAAAGGTATTTTAACAACATTATTATGATGTCACCAGATTTTGAGTAACACCTTTAAAATAGAAAGGTTTCCTTTAGATGCTGATGTAAGTCACATTTCAAATTTTCAACTTCATGCACAATTGGAATTTAATGGGTTAATCAATAGTGATGATTTTAAGATATTTTTGAGTAGATTATTACACACATCCATTAAAGAAGAGGGATAATGCCTCTAAATATACAGTTAACAGAATCGTTTTGGTTGATGATAAAAAGTCACATAGCAAACATGTGAACAGAATATGGGTCAAAATTCGGGCTGTGAGGTGTAGAAGAATAGTGTAGATTAAAATGGACTCAAGTAGAATCATCCTGACACATTCAAACCTATTTACCAAATAAAATAGATATTGCTTCTTTGATGTCTGTGTTTCAATGAATGTGAAATAGATCGGAAATGGTAATATCCAATATGCACTGTGAAACTTCAAACTTAGACATCTAAAGTATAGCTAGTAAACCATACAGATTGCAAAGGACAAGTTTTCAATACAGGGATTGGGATAGAGAACTTTGACAATGGGACATTTTCAGGATTATTAGCCATTTTCTGAATTTAGAATTGGCCACTGCCCTTGTATCAATAGTAAACTTCAAACTTTTAGTGGGCTATTTTTTATTCTAATGTGGAAAATGGCCCATGGCCCCTGCCTTCCCCAATCCCTGTCAATAGAATAACTTCTGAGTGTTTTACTTCTTTCTCATATTGTAAGAGTTGACTTCAGAAGAATGAAACAAATTACAGTTTCTATTTTCTAACCTCATCAGGACCTTTGATATCCTGTGTGTATGCATACCTGTATTATTTGAGAGAAAACTTACATGAACTAAACTATTAGAATAAATATGAACAAATTGAAATAAGAGTTATTCCCCTTACTTAAAACAGATTCTGTGCATCAATATATTATTCGGGGCCAAAATGGTCTTTCTAATACATTCTTTACTACATTATTTCACACATATGTATGTAGATTCCGAATGCAATGGACCAATATTGTGTATCTATAATTATGCCACCTTTGACAGTATTATTTACACAAATTCCAGTGATCACATGAGGCAAATATTGTTTTGTTTGCTGTTGTATTTAAAACATCGTTAGAACAGATTATTGGCAATCAAATTTAAGGCCTTTTAAGGGCTCTTCAAGGCTCAATCAACAACTCTAAGGAACTATCGAAACACATGTAACACATACTAATGTAGCTGAATATATACACAAGGTTGGTCAGATGTGGGAGTGACAATATGAGGGAAATAACTCTTAGCAACATCGCTGAACTGGGAAAGGTTTGATGGACATTAACGATTGAGATATAAGATCATAACTTGACAAGTTTCCTATTTATAGGGCATTGCTGGGCAGATCACTGACAGTAACGACCTTTTCAAGGCTAAAATGGATTTAAGAGCCTCTTTAGGAGAAATGTCCAATTTCAGGCTTTTTTAAGCCCGTGCGAACCCTGTAAATCACACAATATGATATTCAAGCTACATGACGTTGATCTGTAAATATTCAAGCCTGAAAGATATACTAGACTGGACCAGATATCATTCAATAAGCAACGCGCCACGAATATGGGACACAATGGCGTGCAACCGTCACATACCCCGGCCTTCACATCAATGTATTTTCCTCTCTAGGCCTCTAACGACAAGTATTGGTTGCTAGGGACAGAAACCACGCAAAAACGTACAAAGCATAATAACTGACCTTGACAGTCTCATCTCAACGTCATTCGCTTGGAGCTATTATATCACAAAGAGCAGACGTCCATTTTGATCTTGAGTTGTCCAGGGGGGGACAACTCTTGCTGCTGCTTTGTCGAGCAGACGTTAATGTTACTGATGAGAGAGCATGGGGTAGTGGGTTCGATTCTGCATTAACTATTGGGATTTTCTTAACTCAAATTATATCTCTATATTATTTATATAATTACGTAACCTTTCTAAATAATAATTAGATCGCGTTATTGGAACGCAGGTCCCCGTTTCACAAAGCTACGACAGTCGTAGGGCTACAATAGCGTTGTGTAACGGGACCCAGGCTAATATGCTTAAAATACCACTTAAAGCTTGTAAGCTTGAACACACACACACAAACACACACTTATACACATAATTAGATATATATGTCTATGTCAATAGGATCAGGCTACTTATGAGTTGTTTTCAAGCCATGAATCAACATGCCTTTTAGAAGTGGTAACATGTAACATGTTAGCTAAGATACATAGCGTTCACTGACATGTCAGTGAACGCTATGTATCTTAGCTAGTAACATGTGTTCTATCTGAGATAACACTTTGTTGTCGGGGAAAATATGCACCTTTCCTTGCAGACGGTGAATTCGTAAAGTTTTTAATGTAGTAACATAATAAATGAGTACATATGTATTTTGGAAAAAGTTTTGAACTGCAGAACAAATTCTTCAAATACTCATTGCTCCCCTGACAAGGCAAACCAGGATGTGTTACATATTCGTTTTTCGGTAGCAAACGAAACTGTCAAATCCCAGTGATCCGAGCAGTCACATTGTTCCGATGTTTGTGTGTAACAGTCTCGCTTCGGCGTTCGTATCGATCACTGCAGAAACCCATGTACCAGTGTGCGAAATAGCCACTGGCCCGCTAGCCCGTAGCTAGTAAAAATCCAGTCAGGCCAGCAAATCTCCACAGTCACTGGTTCGACTGGCTAGTGAACTTTCATGATGTCATTTTGTGAATATATCACTCTCTCCGACTTGTTAAGTTATAATACACTTTTAAATCATGCAAGATTATGGCCTGATAAAATGTTCATCATATTAGCAGCTTAATGATGAAACCCGTGTCATGCCGACAATATCTTATCCTCATCTATTCTATAAATCTTTTGCTCAGTTACTACGCTCAAATTTTGGGCTTGTGAATTATTTTGTGGGCTAGTAACTTTCAGGCATAGCTAGCGCGACTACTTCGCACACTGCCATTTCCAACCAGGCTAATGAATATAATGAGCTCACAACGTGTGACCTGCCTGATTGTGTGTCACGGCGACCTGATGACGAGTTTTCGACAATGTAACTGGATGGTTGCTGTGGTTACTATCGGTCTGGTATGTGGAGAAGTGACCGTACTAAATAACACTCACTCACACATTCCTAGCTACTTCATCTTGACTTTCTCTGTTGGTCATAGCTTGCGAAACAAAACTTTAATTAATTTAATTCAAATTTAAAGGCCTTTTAAAGGGCTCTTCAAGGCTCAATCAACAACTCTAAGGAACTATCGAAACACATGTAACACACATTCTAAAGTAGCTGAATATATAAGGTTGGTCAGATGTGGGAAAATATGAGGGAAATAACTCTTAGCAACATCGCTGAAGTGGGAAAGGTTTGATGGACATTAACGATTGAGATATAAGATCATAACTTGACAAGTTTGCTATTTATAGGGCATTGTTGGGCAGATCACTGACAGTAACGACCTTTTCAAGGCTAAAATGGATTTAAGAGCCTCTTTAGGAGAAATGTCCAATTTCAGGCTTTTTAAGCCCGTGCGAACCCTGTAAAACACACAATATGATATTCAAGCTACATGACGTTGATCTGTAAATATTCAAGCCTGAAAGATATACTAGACTGGACCAGATATCATTCAATAAGCAACGCGCCACGAATATGGGACACAATGGCGTGCAACCGTCACATACCCCGGCCTTCACATCAATGTATTTTCCTCTCTAGGCCTCTAACGACAAGTATTGGTTGCTAGGGACAGAAACCACGCAAAAACGTACAAAGCATAATAACTGACCTTGACAGTCTCATCTCAACGTCATTCGCTTGGAGCTATTATATCACAAAGAGCAGACGTCCATTTTGATCTTGAGTTGTCCAGGGGGGACAACTCTTGCTGCTGCTTTGTCGAGCAGACGTTAATGCTAATGGTGAGAGAGCATGGGGTAGTGGGTTCGATTCTGCATTAACTATTGGGATTTTCTTAACTCAAATTATATCTCTATATTATTTATATAATTACGTAACCTTTCTAAATAATAATTAGATCGCGTTATTGGAACGCAGGTCCCCGTTTCACAAAGCTACGACAGTCGTAGGGCTACAATAGCGTTGTGTAACGGGACCCAGGCTAATATGCTTAAAATACCACTTAAAGCTTGTAAGCTTGAACACACACACACAAACACACACACATAATTAGATATATATGTCTATGTCAATAGGATCAGGCTACTTATGAGTTGTTTTCAAGCCATGAATCAACATGCCTTTTAGAAGTGGTAACATGTAACATGTTAGCTAAGATACATAGCGTTCACTGACATGTCAGTGAACGCTATGTATCTTAGCTAGTAACATGTGTTCTATCTGAGATAACACTTTGTTGTCGGGGAAAATATGCACCTTTCCTTGCAGACGGTGAATTCGTAAAGTTTTTAATGTAGTAACATAATAAATGAGTACATATGTATTTTGGAAAAAGTTTTGAACTGCAGAACAAATTCTTCAAATACTCATTGCTCCCCTGACAAGGCAAACCAGGATGTGTTACATATTCGTTTTTCGGTAGCAAACGAAACTGTCAAATCCCAGTGATCCGAGCAGTCACATTGTTCCGATGTTTGTGTGTAACAGTCTCGCTTCGGCGTTCGTATCGATCACTGCAGAAACCCATGTACCAGTGTGCGAAATAGCCACTGGCCCGCTAGCCCGTAGCTAGTAAAAATCCAGTCGGGCCAGTAAATCTCCACAGTCACTGGCTCGACTGGCTAGTGAACTTTCATGATGTCATTTTGTGAATATATCACTCTCTCCGACTTGTTAAGTTATAATACACTTTTAAATCATGCAAGATTATGGCCTGATAAAATGTTCATCATATTAGCAGCTTAATGATGAAACCCGTGTCATGCCGACAATATCTTATCCTCATCTATTTTATAAATCTTTTGCTCAGTTACTACGCTCAAATTTTGGGCTTGTGAATTATTTTGTGGGCTAGTAACTTTCAGGCATAGCTAGCGCGACTACTTCGCACACTGCCATTTCCAACCAGGCTAATGAATATAATGAGCTCACAACGTGTGACCTGGCTGATTGTGTGTCACGGCGACCTGATGACGAGTTTTCGACAATGTAACTGGATGGTTGCTGTGGTTACTATCGGTCTGGTATGTGGAGAAGTGACCGTACTAAATAACACTCACTCACACATTCCTAGCTACTTCATCTTGACTTTCTCTGTTGGTCATAGCTTGCGAAACAAAACTTTAATTTCTTATCGTAGGTCCTGGTGTATTGCGCCATTTTATAATGGTACTTGGGTATGAATAGTAAACGAATTCTCACTCTTCTTAAATTATTTGTGGTGTGTGGTCCTGTGCATATAACCCAGGCCACAAATCAGGTGATGTTAAGTTGGTCACGGAGAGTCCTTGGATGGGTGACTGTGTTTGGCAGCTTGACTCCTGAGAGTTTCTTGGACTTCAGTCTGACCCCACAACAAAGCACACATGACACTTGTGGTTTCATCCTAGTTTTTTTTTTAAAATGCCTCTGTTCACCCAGCAGTGAATGGGTACCCGGTGGGATAAGGCATATGGCTGTTAACCTTCTAGCGCCTCACCTGCAGCTAGGGTTACCCGGGGTAATAATGTGTTGGCATCTAGAGCATGCACAAGTGCGTGGATACAGGCGTTTTATAAATAGAACTTGTTATTATTATATTATGATCAACATATATAACTGATTATATATATATACTTTGTATGATTTATCTCAGGGAGAGATTACGGTAACGCCACACCTTCCACATCATCAGCCACACATCTTGAGGACCCTCCCTACTCTGTGCTGGGTAAGTCACTGAATACATATAGAGGATACACACGAACACATGAAGTCTCGTATCCGATCAACCTCTCTCTACCACAATGTCGAAACAATAGCCTACCAGAAGAGAGACTGAGTTTAACATTACTTAGATTTATTTCTAAAAATCTTAACAGTCTTCCTCCATACCAAATTATCATATCAGTGTTTTTCTGTATCGTTTTCAGGTTTCACAGACCGAGATATGTATAATTACGTCATGTTTGGATCGATATGTGGCTGTATCTTCATCCTGGTCAGCGCAGCATTTATATTTACAGCGTGTTATCTGCACAGAAAACCAGGAAGTGGCACAGTCACCTCAGACTAGAAGAAGAACGTGACAGACAACCCGTGTTTATGATACACTACACGGGTACATGTGATACACCTACAAATTCACACAAAAAACCAATAACGCTGTCTACTTCACCGAGCTGCCGCATTTCTTCTTTGCTGAAATCCATTGGAAACGCATCTCCCTATTATCATTATTCATATGATATTCAAAACGAAATTTGAACCCAAACTGTGTTTGAAGTAATCTGACTATGACAGATAAACGTGATGCACACCGAGAAGCACGTGCACCCCTGTGTGATCACGTGACCCACCATTTGCTAAAATGGAAATCGCGTGACAATGCATAAAACGTGGCGAACCCACAACACGAACCCACAACACAGATAATTCAGCTGTGTACCAAAATCACACTTGAAGTTTGAACAGCACTAAACTGTCGACTTTAAATAATGCCACGTTTATCAGCCCTTGAGAGAGAAAGCGCTGTTGTGTTCCTTGATACTGGTTTGTCTACAGGTCAGTTGGCCAGAGGTTTAATTGTCACAATTAAAAAATCGCCAGGTTATCACAGCACCTACGACAAACTGGCTCGATACGTGATCGACCACACCCAGGAGTACCACGTGTCACGATAGTCGCCGTCCAGAACGGCCGCTACCAGCCGTGGACGACGATGTATCATCAGTCCCCAGACAGTGCACGGCGATGACGTCGAAGATGTGCAGCTGTACTCGACCTTCCATTGACTATGTGAAAGTTTTGAGAATGTGTGAAATTTCAGTTTGACTCCCGACGTTGTTATCGTTAATTTATGGCTGCACTAAATAATGACTGCCTTTGCCTTTTGTTCTGTGTATTTCCGTCTTGATTGGCAATTTCAGTGTCAGTTGGAACAAGTTCTTTATTTATTTACCATGGACATGAAACGTTTTATTCGGCTGGTGATGCGTTTCTAATGGATTTCAGTATATTAGGTCATGTGTTAATTAATTAATATCCAGTTATGTCTCACGTGTGTTCACCCACTACTGTATATGGTGAAGGTATTAAAATATGTTAACTTCAAACAATGTTGACATGTGATTCAAGGGGCATGTTGGCCAGCCGGTATTCAGGGTTTGGTAAAGAAGAATCTTTGCAGGTCGTACGAGGCGACCAACTTGAAGGATCGATACAGTGAATTGTTCGATTACGTATCACCATGACCCGAAGGTGTCGATAGTGGCTCACAATATCAATCACTGGATTGTCTGGTCTGATTGTTTACAGTCAGCTGTCATAAACCGGGAATATTGCAAAGTTAAACAACTTAAAAAACATCCGAACCAGTCACAAGAGCGGAAGGTCGCGGGTTCGATTCCCGGCCGCGTCATACCAAAAGACGTTAAAATATGGTACTTGTTGGTCCCTGCCTGGCACTCGACATTAATGGGTACAACAAGGACTGGTCGGCTCGGAGTCAGTATAATGTGACTGAGTGGGGTGTTCATGCTTAACTGCGGCATGGTATCTCAGTGAGCTGGCACTATAAAACCAGCTTAAATCTGGGCTAGTACAAGCAGCCGCACATACACACGCATGCACGTCGTCATATGAGCGAAATATTCTCAAGTACGACGTTAAACCCCATTTCAACTCACCTCACCGATCCTGTCACCTCTAATAATTATGTGTTAATGAAGGCCATTACCAAGACGACAAATATGTGCTCCTCAAGATCTGTACTAACCGGATCTTCACGATCTGCGTCATCACAGAAGGATATGGCACACGGGCGTGCTAAAACTGGCTGCAGGAAGTGGAAAGTTTTGCTGCAAATGTGTCGAGGTGTTGGGCGAGAAATACTGAACTTGTTCCCTTGTTAACTGGGAACCTGGTTTCTGATCATATTTTAAGTCTCTGGAAGGACAAGGTGCCATGACAAACTCTCAGTGCAGGAGTCTGCTGTCTTTGTTCATGATAACAAGTTATGGATCATCGCGAGTGCGGTGCTTTTTAGGATTTATTAAAGTGCATGAGTGAGTTGGTTTTTGTCCCGCTTTCAGCAGTATTCGGACAATATCACGCTGGGGGACACTTGAACTGGGCTTCGTACATTGTCCATTTATGGTGAACTGTGGTGGTGTGTGGTCCTGTGCATAGAGCTCAGGTCACAAAGTAGGTGAAGTTAAGCAACGGATGGGTGACCGTGTTTAGCAGCTTGACTCCTGAGAGTTTCTTGGACTTCAGCCCCACCCCACAATGAAGCACATGTGATACATGTGGTCTCACCTTAGTCAAGTGAGTTTGTCCACAATTGCTTCCGTTAACCCAGCACCAGCGCCAGGTAATCTGTCAAAATCGATCCAGGTGTTTCCTCATGGCAAAAATATAAGCAAAATGAGTATGATGTATTAGTTACAAGACAATATCGACTGATTTTGACTGATTTATTGATCGACACCATCTGTATGCCAGTCAGATCAGGCAGTCATGGTCTGTTCAGTGTCAACATACAAACAAACACATATGTTTATGATGGCACTATAGTAAACAGACTGATATCCGTTTGTAAACAAAGGCGGTAGGTAGCAATCCCAAAACCTGTTGTTATAGGAAAAAAAACTTGTTTTAGTTTATTTGGTATTTATTCTTTCACAGCGCAGTTACAATGGCTAACATGTTAAAATCGCTCAACAATCTACACATAATGATTCGCTGATGATGCAGCATTGGTAGAACTTGTTATGGAATCAGAACTTAGTTACAGAGCTGACATTTCAAAATTTGTAGAACGGTATAAATCAAACTTTATATTTTTGAGTGTGCAAAAAACCAAAGAAATGATCAATAAATGCTGTAAGTATTGAAGTAATAAAATAGAAAGGGTAACTGAATACAAATATTTGGGTACTGTCTCAGATTCAAAACTCTCCTGGAACGAAAACACTGAGAAATTATATAAGAAAGGACAACAACGCTTGTATTTTTTGTCGAAGTTGAAACATTTAAAAATCGGCCAAACTATCATAATGTTATTTTACAAAACCTTTATTCAAAGTGTCATAACCTTTAATTTCTTCAGTTGGTTCTGGAACCTGTCTGTCGAGAATAACAGCAAATCCTCAAAAATCGTAAACACTGCGTCTAAAATTATTGGGCTTCCTATCGAGAGTATCGGCAGTTGATATGAGCAGCAAATTTAAAAAAGGCAAACAAAATTTTAAGTGATCCTACTCACATACTCTTTTCTGAATATTCATCATTACCTTCTGGACGCAGGCTGCGTATGCCGACTTTTAGAACAAACAGGGTTCGCCACTCATTTGTTCCAGCTAGTATTAGATGTATTAACAACTAATTCAATGAATGACTTGTCTTCAAACTGTCCAAATTCAAGTCAATATCAATGTTTGTGTACTAAATTGATGTATTTATATCTTGATTATTTTAAACAATGTTTATCACTTGCAGTGTTATATATGGCTGCCTTTTGAAAGATAAACTGGAGAACTGCGTATGATGTAAAAGAAATTTCCTTTGGGGATAATAAAAAAAATCATCTCATCTCATCTCATCTCAGTTTACTCTACAATATATTCCAAGTATACACATGTTAGTCAGTAGCAAGGATGATGTGGCAGGGTGACAACGTGTGAAATCCGACTGACAGCAACTTATTTGTTAATATCTGTGTCCACCGATTTTGTGTACGTGAAAACATATTCACAGCGAAGGTCAGTGGAATAGCTCCGTCCAATAAAGTTGTCAATTTTCAAACACAATCACGCGCCGCCAACCTGTCACAGTCCAAACCAGGATGATTTGGTTTCGGGTGTGGAAGGCCAGGCAAAAGGACGACTTTTGGGGGTGACATGGTGCAGAACATGAGGTTTGAGAGGGGAAGATGCGTGGACTGTGTCAGAGTGGTGGAGATGTGGTTTGGATCGTGTCAGAGTGGAAAAGATTTGAGTTTGACCGAGAAAAGGAAATGTTTTGGGTGTGACAGTGTCAGGAATCGGTGTGTTGATTTGTGAAGAAGAGAGTTGTGGTGTATTACTTTGTGAGGACGGGGGTTTTAGCGTGTTGGTCTGTGAGGAAGGTTTGAGCTTGAAAGGTTCCGACGATGTGGTTTTGAGCAACTTTCTAATAATATGGAATAACACGAATGGACGTCATTTATTGCACGCAGATTGGGATTCGAACCCGGATCTTCGACATGACCCACTGCTCCCCAGTCACAGTTCCAACGACTGAAATCCAAGTTTGGACTTTAATACTGTTACCACCGATTTTATCAATCATTATAAATAAATTGGAATAATGTTGAACAATGAACAAAAAAAACTGCAAGTTACAGCAACTGCACTTAGAACACATTTCCTGGGTGTCAATTAAAATTAATAATCAAGTAATGTCTGTAATTCTTAACAATAATATTTCGAATGGAGATTGTAAATTGCATGGCACCTGTGAGCGAAAATACACTCTTGAAGAGGACTTTGGGATTTGCCTTTTCCATTTATAAAGACCAGATTTGTGAATGTCACCATCCATTGCAGATACTTCAAGACGTTCCGTCGCAAGTCACTTGTTCAAGCGAACCGCCATGTCTAAACAACATGGGTTATATTAAAAGGACCCAAGTAATATAAAAGGGTCAAGTGAAGGAGTACGTCAGCAAACTTTATATCGGCCGAGCATCTCCAGAGTCAGGAATGGCGGTAACAGGAACAGGGTCGGGTTGTGTTGTTTTCTCCTGAACTTTGTTCAACCTTGAAACACCGTCTGAAACAACATACATGGATAGTATGTACACATTACACAACATACATGGATAGTATGTACACATTACACAACATACATGGATAGTATGTACACATTACACAACATACATGGATAGTATGTACACATTACACAACATACATGGATAGTATGTACACATTACACAACATACATGGATAGTATGTACACATTACACAACATACGTGGATAGTATGTACACATTACACAGGCGTGGCTCCACGGCCGGTTCAAGCCGTCTGAAACAACATACATGGATAGTATGTACACATTACACAACATACATGGAAAGTATGTACACATTACACAGGCGTGGCTCCACGGCCGGTTCAAGCCAATTCACGTGTTTAACAGTCTTCCATAACTAGATGGGTGCACGTGATAACTTAATATGTAGTTAACCTCGACAGAGTAAGTAACGTCTGCAAACCTGTGACCCCGTCTGTGTTCCCCAGATCCCGAGTGGCTTGACTGATCACATCAGATGACCTCTCATACAAGTGATTCTCCACTGCAATACAACGGAATTGTTTTCAGCTCACGTATGTGTTAGATATGTTTGCCAAAACATCAATATCTCAGCACTAGGTTTCGTTGTATTCACTGAAATATGGTATGTACCTAATTACTCATCTGGAAATCTAGAGGAATGTTCTCACCCATTATGTCGTCGTCACTTGAGTCGTGTTGGAGAGTTGCGTTACTGAAAGAAATATAATTTATAAATATATATCAGCTGATGAAATATACAAATATTTATTCTCAACAAAAACATGCAGGTAACTTTAAAAGCAAGGTTAAATTTTGTCAATTCATGGAATATAAAGATAGTTGTTGGGTGATAATATATATCAATGTGCTTATTGTTGATAGTCACATCGAGTTTGGAATTCCCAACAATGGTAAATTACACACCTGTTTCCATTCCAAATGTCTGGTGGCCCCTCCTTCACAGCGTATCCTAGAGAAACATACGGACAGTGTGGCAGGTGACAACAGGTGAACTCTAGGACACATGGCAGTCACTTCCTAGTCGCATCTGTGATCAGGGCTCCAGTGTATGTTATACAAAAACAGATACCTAACGCCATTGGAATGGATATCATTTGTATGGCGGATATCAGAGACGAGTGTCATCTGTTATTTATATGTGATGCATATGGCGATTTAAGAAAGGAGTATATTCCACACTTATCAGATTTTTATCACCAGAAGACGAATCTGTTTATTTAAAATTAGCCCTTCTTTAAAGTGGCATTTTAGAAGTTGGGAAGTACAATATAGAACAAACTTTTTGGATAACAGCATGCTTGACAACGGTTATGGGGCGCGGAGGGCGAGCTGGCTAACGTGCCAGGGTAGTGATCCAGCGAGATTGAGGTGCCGAGATCGAGCCCACTTGTGACCGGGTGTAAAAACCTTGGAGTCAACTTTGTGTACAGACTCTTTCCGTGTTGTCACAACCTCTAGTGTACAGTACACAACCCTGTGCACTTAAAAGAACCCACAAATCCGTTGGTATATGACCAAATGGTGGCCACATGAATACGTGCAAACACCGGTACCTAGTTGCGGGTACAGTAACGTGCAGTAAACTTGAACAAAGTACTGTGACTAGTTGTCCCTGTCCACCCAGCTGTGAATGAATACCTCGTTAGGATGAGAAAGCCACAATAACCCGGTGCACCTAGTGGCAGCATTAGTTGTATACTCCCCAGGGAGTTGAGATTGATAATACGATGTGCCGTTGAGATTGACATCCAATGATCGAGGGGAAAAAATACCAGCGCCTTGAGCATGCACTAGTTGCCTGGATATGTGCGCTATATAAATATCCTATAATAATAATAATAATACAAGAATCTGTATCGAAACGTCGCACTCACGAAGAAAAGATGTTGTTATCCATAACGTTTGTTCTACAAAATTAGCCCTGTCCTTAACACATTCGTTGACATTAAGAAAAGTTTGATTTCTTGTGGCAACTAATTACACAATGCGTTCCACTATCTGCACAGTCCATACTTTGCCTGTCATTATGATATTATGTCTACGGGCCGGAGGCCTTATGCACAATAAAACTATCTTGATCTTGACAGAGATAACTGGATGCAATGTCCATATTTCAGCCCCAGTCAAAGTGAAAACACAAAGTGGAGGAACAGTGCAATAACATCACTGCTTTGTCTTCTAAAATCCTGTCATGACCAACGTAAATCCTGCGCTACCATTGCTCTGGTTTATTTTGGGTTGTGACAGTTAACGGAAGGGTTCGTGTTGACATGTGACAAGGTAGGGAAGGGCTCGTTCTGGGATCTGACAGAGTAGGGAAGGATTCCTTTGGCATGTGACCGGGTACGGGAGGGCACGTTTTGGAGTGTGACGGGGTAGGTAAGATGTATTTTTGAACAATATTCCAACGATATCACGGCCTGGAATACCACGAATGGACGTCACTCATAGCACTCATGTTGGTAATCAAACACAGACCTTCGACTTGACGATCGTCCGCTTTCCCAGGATCCTGAGTAGCTGGACTGATCACATCCGCCGACCTCTCATACACATCATTCTCCACTGCAACACAACGGAATTTTTGAGCAGTAACGCACATATAATATATATGTATGTTAAATATTTACCAAAATTGGTATATCAACACTCGGTTTTGTTGTGTGTAGTCCACATATAGAAGGACATATGCACAATTATTAATTGTATTGTAAAAACTATAAACTGTTCTCACCCATTATGTCGTCGTCAATTGAGTCGTGTTGGAAGGCTGTGTTTCTGAAAGAAATATCAAATTTCAACAATGCCATCATGCTATGCAAAATGAAGACCTAAAAAGACATGTTCAATGCTATACAAACTTTCAAATGAAGGTTAGAGCTCATACATTAACTGGCTCTGCAAGGACATAGTATTTAACCGTGAGGTGATTACTTTGATCTAGAAGTAGTCCAGGAAGAGTGGAAGTATATTGACCTATAAAAATATATACACTAGAACGTATATACATTAGAACGTATTTTGGCAACATTGCCTATTGTCGAGTGCCAATCATGATAATTTTGAACAAACTTGTATATTTATTACAGCAATTTTCATTCACACACAGTTTCACTTTCAGAAAAGGACAATAAAGGTATTAGTTACATGTAACCATGCATATGTTCAAGTAGCTAGTCTGATGGAATATCAAAATATGCAATTTAACATATTTTTTATTAAATGGTTTATCTGATTTCATAATGATACCAAATTCGCAACAGTGACTAAATCGGACTTTTGAGCACTTACTTCAACCATAGCTTGGATCATTCATACAGATTTTCCAGGATATATCCCGACTGATGGTCACTCAACATAGGGTCACTTTACCTTGGCTAATGTACGACCAGACACTGTTAACCATTGTTGGGTAATACACTAGTACTGACTACACGTCAATGTTTAGGTTGTTTAGAGTCTTTGAACGGCATTTAGAAGTGATAAATATAAAGGCGAGCATTTATGGAGGTCAACTTCTTTATTTTGGGGGACACGACTTTTCGGAGTACATTGTATATTCTTACTCCTGCGTCATTCAACTGATGAAAGAGTAAAGATATACTCCGAAACGTCGTGTTCCTCAAAGTCCAGGTTGTTACCAATCACATAGAGTCTGGGATTCCCAAACAAGGGTAAAAAACTCACAGGTTTCCATTCTCAATGACTGGGCGATCCTCCTTTACCGAGTGTCCTAAAGAAGTATACAAAGACTGAGTTTGAATTGTTTGTACGGTTTTAAAATGAACGTTCATGAATTACTTTTGTTTCGCATAGGGAAATGATTTAACAAGATACACACAATTTTGAAAAGAATAAATGTATTTGACATTGAATATGAGTAGCAGTTGTGATTTGATACCTCTGATCGACTGATCAGAACAGTAACTTTCACACTGATGAGAGAATGTGTTTTATGAATGAACATTTTAGGCGATACCTTGACGATGTCTCCTTTTCTTGAGGCACACGACTCCAAGGATGCAGACAATGATGAAGGCACCTCCCCCTCCAATCGCAATGTAGACATATTTGATGCATACTATTTGTTCTGTGGCAGAAGATACAACTTATAAATGGAAAATTGTAAAAGAATCAGAATTAGAAAATAAATACAAACAATTACAGTTTAAAATTCTTTACTCAATTTGCTTTGAAATTTATATCTGAACAAATTAAATGTTAAAGATAGTAAACTGTGTGAACACCGTGGCAATATCGACACAATCAGACTTTATATGTTTTATTGCTCTCATGTTTTACAATTCTGTCTTTCCTATTTTAAAATGGCAAAAGCAAATATTCAGATAAGGTATATCCAAATTACAGAGATGTTGTATTATATGGCCTTAATAGAGACTCTGAAGACTGTAAATTATTTAATTTTGTATTGATGTTTGCTAAATTTATAGTGTATCGCTGCAAAGTCACTAGAAGTGATTGTAATTTTGACACTTTCATAAAGATCTAAAATTACATTAAATAATACTGAAACATACCGGAAAAAATGTAAGTGAAAAAGTAAAATCTTTATGTGCATAGTCTTTCCCACTTATGACAACTGTATTATCTATTATGACCTATCATTTTTAACACCAACACCCTGGTATGTCCATCCACGTGACACTGTACAGGGGATGTAAACTCGTGGAATCTGATTGTTAATAAATGATGCTAAAAACTAAAGATAAAGGGAATTTTACACTGATGACGGTTGTGTGATATCCGTGGGGGATTTAATGCAACCTGATATTAAAATACATACAAACTTCACATGACGTTATGTTTATATATATGAACCAAAGAAGTTAGGTTTGCAACACCTCTAAAACCAAAGGGTGAGTGAGTGAGTGAGTTTAGTTTTACGCCGCACTCAGCAATATTTCAGCTATATAGCGGCGGTCTGTAAATAACTGATTCTGGACCAGACAACTCAATGATTGTCTGGCATGAGGGATACGATGACATGTGTCAGCCAAGTCAGAGAGCCTGACCACCCGATCTCTTACGACAAGCATGGGTTACTGAAGACCAGTTCTAATCCGAATCTTTACGGGTGTAAAACCAAAGGCTAAACAGTATATGCACGTAACTGTAAAAAGTGTGCATTATATTTGCATGCAAAGTCTTTCTCCTTGGGTGTTGTCATGATCATGCTTTTTGTTCATCGGATTCAATGTAACATTATTGTCGAGATATGACACTAACATAAGATGAAATGAAGATATTTTAAAAGGTAAAAGAAAATGTAAATAAAGTCAGAACATACTGTTTTGTATATCTGGTCTGCTGTTGTCCGAATTTGACGTCAAGAACGTTGATGTCGGCGTTGACGATCCATATGTCGACATACTTGTAGTCGTTACATCTTACAAACAAAATCAGATTGTTATGCTTAACGCTATAGTGACGACAGCACAAATACACTCTGACAGAAACAAGCATAAAACAACTCGCAACAGTTGAAAAATTAGACGAAATTCTGCTGATATGCAACCAAAATGAATACAAAATATGAACTTCTCATGTCTGTATGCATTGGGACTATTTGCATGCGTCGGGAAAGAATAAGTGCGACCAAGAGCTACTGAGAAAGTGGGGGAAAGGCCACCATGTAGAAGTATGGCGGCCAAACAAACCAATATCAGATAAACGTGTCACATGAATGGTTTGGATATGAAAAGATGGATTCTCATCTGACGGTCATCTTCACTGTGAAGCAAGTGAAAACTGACAGAAGCTCAGCCCGAACAATGTCATCGGTCGATTGCAGACAGGCGACTCGGCTTCGGTCGTAGCCAGGTTTTTGCACGCATCGCTTAACACCATTACAAAACTATAGGACCTTATCACTTTCTTGGAACCTTCATCCGCATTGTCGTCAATGGGACTTCACTGGTGTCAACGACACAGAGTATGGCCACAGCATCGATGGAGACGTGTTTGACTTAGTGATGTGTTTTGTGACGGAAGACGTCGTGTGTACGAGGAAGCCCAACACCCAAGTACTGACATGACCTCAAGGTCTCCAGATCTAAATCTCATCGAACATTTTGGGGATGTTCTTGACCAACGTCTGTGATCACGTCAGCAACAGCCACAGAAATCCAACAGTTGGCACAAGCACTGCAAGAGGTGTAGGTGAACACTCCACAGGCCACAATTCGTAATCTGATTCCAATGGGCGCTGATGCAATGCAGTTCTTGACTCTCATGGGAGCCATACACGATATTGTTAACAGATGACCTTCACCTTGACATTCGATGAACCTCGGTCAGTCAAAAAGCCAGATTTAAACAAAGCAGTATGGTCTGTTGATTATTTATACAATACATAAATTATACATCTGAAAACCACTTTTGCGTTACGGTTTTTGAACATTATAATATATTACAATCACTGAACAATGAAAGATGGAAGTCCAGGTCAATTGCGTGACTCACTCTCACTGACACACAGCGACGAGCAAAGCGTTAAGAACAAAGGATAAAGCACTTACTGATAATCAATTTGACACTCGTTGCTCTTGTAACTTGTCCTATGTTACTCACAGTGTTGTTCTCACAGAACCACACAGATCCACTGTCCAGGGTAGAGTTTAGTGTGAGAGTTACATTGTGTTGGTGGACATCACAGCTTACTGTGACACGTTCTGCCATGTGCGTGTGTGGAGATTGGCTTAGCTTCCCTAGCGTGCAGTCGTTTTTTGATCCCATCTCATAATTGGTAGTGAAAAACATACTATCATTCAGATACCAGTTGATACTACGGCTACCACTACTTCTGTTGCCACATGTTAAGGTGAAGAGGTCACCTTATGTTGCTGTAGATGGGGAACCAATCAGATGCAAGCTGCCTGCAACATAGATCCCTTGACAATGAAGATGATGGACAATGGACAACCACTAGTTGATCATAGCTTATTACTGGCGCTGCAGGAAGTCAAATGCCCTTAATATATGCTGGATATACTTCAGATGAAACTACGCATAACATCGTACCGTTTCCGGATTGGTTGGGCAAGTACATACAAGTAATTGATACACCGCATTTCTAATTTAACTGAGAAGCAGACAATTATTTTCCAAAATGTTATGTGCTATCAGCTCAAAGGTTTATTGCAAATGAGGTTTCAAAATAAGTATCTTTTCCTTTGACCGTACATACTGTGTAATATAAAAATAGACCCACTATGTGTTGTGGTATTTACCAAAGGAAATATATTGACTCTCACCTCCTTTGGAGAGAACAACGAAATTACATAGCAGCATAACTATCAGTGGGCTCTCCATCTCCATCCGCATTAGTTCCAGACTGGCACAGCACATTGAGTCTATACGATCAGATTGAACGGACTGAGGTACACATATCGCTGTTTTACATCAACACTTGATACTTCTTATATTCCAACTCCTGAACTTGTCACAAGAGAGGTCACCGTCTCAAAACATTGTCAGTGAAACTACATCTCCTCTAATGAATCCAGGGAGAAACACATTTAAAAGGACAACACAAACACTGCTAGGTTAGTGTGTCACATTTCACTTGAAGCCGTCTTTTTCTATGTTCTTCGTGGTTTGTTCAAACCATATACAGAGCCAGCCAGAGCCTGTAGCAATGAAAACCGTTATCAGTGGCTCTCTCGTGTCATGTTCACGCATATGGTACGTTAGTAAATAAATCATGGTCATTCACAGAATGAATACGAACAAGGATTTAATGTCCTTAGTTGAATAAAATATCGCCCGGAAAATATTTCTATAAAGAGGGGAACGCTATGACGAAAACCGGCTATTCTCAATAACCAGCACACATAACCAGGAACTACGACAAACGAGGGCAGTGACAAACAGCGTCATCAAAATAGAACCCGGTATTTCAACTTAACTGACTGAAACGAGGAAAGATATATCCTGCACAGGACTGTGGGTTCCAGTGGCTTTTGCAAATTATGGTGATCTACCCGGCAACTGCCACAAACTTTACTTCTCCCAAAGAAAGGTAATTTGACTAATTCTAAAACCTTCCTGCCTTGTACGTGTCTGAATACACAATGCAAACTATTTACAGGGTGTCGTACAGCAGCCCGACCGTCAGGAACGGTCTGTTTTCATCTCGGACGGTCAAATTTCAAAAGTAACCTCTCCGGTGTTCTGGTAGATATTTGTACCCCTAACAGTAAATATTTCATAATATCAGACAGGTTCTCTTGTCGTCAGTTTGAGGTGTTTAAGGTATTATGGTGATTATGTTAAACTACTTACGATTGGACAGTTTATGTTACGATAACCAATTACAACACGCGTACTTTCGGTTTACCTAAACTCGGTGCATTGCCTGTTAGTGCAAGTTTGTATGCTGACTGGTGATTGTTTTAAGTTACCAGTCCGTCTGTCTAGCTTGGAATTTTTGGAGTTTTAAACACTGCTTACAGGCCTTGTAGCATCATACTACACCTCCAACGAAGACGGAGCTCGACGAAGGAGCTGTGATAATTAATTGTTGGCAGAAACGTTAACCTCTAAATGTGTTGGGATAAATTATGGTAAAAAATATCATTCTGTACCCCACGAATGAATTTTGAGATCACTGGAATATATTTACCTTCCACTGATACTTGAACTCAAGTCTTTAATGAATTAGTGGGCAACATAACTTGAGATGCTGACCCGGGAACCTGTTTCTATTACAAGTATATTACAAGGCGATTCTTTGTGTCGGTTACTTTTTTGCTTGTCATTGTACGCCTGTAAATCATTTCTGCCAAACAAAGCGGAAGGTTATAATCACAAAACGATAACATTAACAATAAGAAATACAAAGTTCAAACGCAATGATTTATTCACAGGTGGACACAAATTTGTGTTGAAATGGTTTCCTTTAGCTTTACCCTGCATTGTATGAGCTGTATGCATTTTGAAGAAAAAAAGAAAATATCTTCAGTTTTGTTACGCATTTATCGATGTAATGATAATTAACAAATTGGACATTTATATAGCGCATCGTATCCAGAGATATCCCTGCTCAAGCGCGCTTAAGGATGAGGGGATATTTTGGGGCCCTTTATCAATTGTTTACGGCTGTATTTGTGTCCCATAGGCACTCTGTTTGTATTATGTATTATTTATGACACCCTTGGCATGATAACATCAATAATATCTCTTGCGACGCAGTCCTGGTTAGAGTGTGTATGTCGTTTCCTCCATTTGTTATAAGATTTATACATGAATTTTTTTCAAACACATTTACAAGTTTCAGAATTCCCCCTGTTAGATTTTGATATCCTGAATTCTGTACACTTATTACATGAGGTGAATTTGACAGATGTTAATATTGTTTTAAGTTCCGACTCTGGAATTCTATTTGTATCATTGTTACACTGGCCATAATAAAATTCAGGAAACAATAGTTAAGTCGTTAATTTGTACCATAATTCACAATATTAATTCTTTTACTAATTCATTGATTTGCGCATCTGCCTGCTTTTCCAAGTGTCTTCGGTTCATTATCCCGCGACCTTGTTCGTGGTCAAGTTGAAAGAAACATTTTGCACTAATAAAATATTCACAGGATCTGCCAACCCCCTTCCTGCAATGTTTTAAAATATATACCTAATTAAGTAAATGTCACTTAATTATTGTCTAATTGAGCTTGTCTTTGATTCATTATCCCGCGACCTTGATCGTGGTCCAGTTGAAACAACATCAACCCAAAGAGATTTTCATTGATTGGACCCTTGGTCCGGCATATCGTGGAGCGGCGTTGAGAAGTGATATTAGTTGTTCTCATGTCTGGCGCAGCCCTGAAGGGGGAGTTACCAAACATTGATCAGAGTCAGTAGACTGCATCTCAGTGAGGTTTGTGCTTAACTCTCAGTTTTGATGACACAACTGGCACTGTCCCAGACTTGTATGAACTGCCACCGCACGTGGCATATCAGTACTACTACATTGTCGCAATGAAGCCTTAAAACCGTTATATTGCATAAACGGTGCGTGATGCAGATATTTCCGCATTAGTTATTGACAATGTTAAGGTTATTGCCTTAAAGGTCTTATGATCCTCTTATGATCCTCTTCTTTAATAACTTAGCATCTCGACTGATATTGTGAATTTATAGCTTCTCTGTTCGTAGGATTGATAGATGCTTAGGTACCTGCTAGGGTGTTTCGTGGAGATTCAGTCAAATAAGTTTTTGAAACTCACCACTGGAACGAGAAGCGACACCAAATGTGAACACGGTAGAATAGTAGAATAAGCAGCTTTATTTTCCTTTTCACGTTAATATTTCATTCCTTTCAAGGTTGAAACCAACATCTACCGTGCAGTGTTGCTCGTTATCTCAAGCACTTGAATAGCAGTAACAACCCCAGTGTCTCTGAAAGGTCCGTGTCATTAATCCTGGCTATATTCAAGGACGGCAGATATCTATGAGGAAGACACTACCACTGTTATGTTACGATAACGACTACTGTCGTCAGCTGTCATCCAGATTTCCTCCTAGTCTGGTTAATCAGCTGTTCGCTGTATTACAATTAAACCTGTTTTCCTATATTCTCGTCTAAAATTGTTAAAATCACCTTCTTGTCTGAAGCGTGAAGATCTGTGTAAAATTGGTCCTCAGGAGCCCTTGCGTGTCGTGAGAGGCGCCTAACGGGATCGGGTGGTCAGCTTGCGGGTTAGGGCTCAGGACGTCGACCTTTGGTCCAAACCTCACGGATGAGTGAAGAAAAAAGGTCGACGTCCTGGGCGTTTTGACATTTTAGCAATTAACATTGGATTATAGAGACAATGACGGGTCTACGTGTTGTTAGCAGAGGATAATCCGGATTATGCGGGTGAGAGCACACCTAATGAGAAAACGATCCAAATATATGTATAAAGATAGTGTTGAATTTCAATTCACCGAGTATATATAAATTAAAATATAAAACATAAAATAAAATACAGTAGTACAAAATACGAGATACTGACATTTCTACATGTGTTAAAATCAATATACATTTAAGCCTTCTTTGTTTACTTCCGGTCTCCGCAATACTCACACTGTAAGATGGCGGCCTGTAAATATTCGAGTCCGGACCAGGCAAACACTGGTTGACATGCTACACGTACATGTCACAAAGCCACCTCTGTCCCCGCCCATAACTCTTTCTCTCATTGTGAATGCTGTCAGTGGGTAGGGTGTGGTGTTATTCTGATCTCCCGCCGTTATCAAGAGTCGAGTTGATCTTAGTGGTTACATTGCTTAGATTATTCATACTTCTCTATGCGGATCGTACTGTATTAGTAGCCGAAAGCACATGTCAGGGAAACCCGGAGAATCTGCTTAATACGTTCATGTACTATTGACAACAATGGAAACTAAAAATCGACATATTTTCACATTTAATCAAAGATTGACAGAAAAGGTTGACGAATATATATGTTTTGAGGGATTTATTTGACAGCTATAATATATTCAAGGAAAGTAAAAGTGTATCATTCAGAACAAGGAACCAAAACATATTATTTCCTGCTGAAAACGTACACAGTGAAATCTATGAAAACCAACACCAGGTAAACACGTTTGATTCAGTGGTTGTTCCAACCTAATAGTATTTCTGTAAACATGGAATTTCTAAAATGAACAAGTTATTGCAAAAG